GTGAGCAAACTAATTCAGTTCAGTCCGTGGCGAGATGTCAAGCAAAATGGATTTAGATTCTGTGGGCCAGATTCTCATTTCAGTGACACAGGCATAAATCAAGCATAATTCAGGTGGCGGGTAACTCTGGATTTCCATAGACAGCACTCAGATCAGAATCTGTGCCCACGACTATGTTTCACCCCCAATTTGTGCAAATTCTTCAGGGGATTTATTATAGGGTTGGAGTCACCATCACTGCCACTATTATCTACATATATTCCATGCAATTATTATTTTATTGAATTCTCTGGAGGTAAAATTAAAATAGAGCTTTTCTTTTTCCATCTCCACTTCTGTTTTTGTTTCCCCTTCTCTTTAACAACCCAGTCTCCCAGGAGAACACTTGATACATCCTCATGGTTCCCAGAGACTACAGTTCAATAGGCTGAGAGTTAATTAACATCTGGGAGCTTCCAGATGTTTATGTACTGTCCCAAAGAGCTGGCCATTGGTAGCAAATGAACAGCCAGAAAAAAGGTGATCCAAACAGAGCATCCTTCAGATAATTAATATCTGCCTGGAAAATTCAGCGTGGTCCAAAGAAACTAAATTCAAATTAGGAATAACTAAGAAAAAACCCTTCATTATCAACAAATAGTCAATTAATTTTTTTTCAGACCCAGCTATAATTCTTATGCACTGTAGTTGTGTATTCTCATTGTCATCCATACAGTTGGGGGGGGAGGCATAGCTCAGTGGTTTGAGCATTGGCCTGCTAAACCCAGCATTGTGAGTTCAATCCTTGAGGGGGCCACTTAGGAATCTGGGGCAAAATCAGTACTTGGTCCTGCTAGTGAAGGCAGGGGGCTGGACTCAATGACTTTTCAAGGTCCCTTCCAGTTCTAGGAGATAGGATATCTTCATTTATTTATTTATTTTAGCTGACAGAAAAAGGCACAGCCTTCAGCCTACCTTTGTTTATAAGATGTGCTTCAAAAATACCATTAAGTGAGGATGTTGGATGGCTCAAGTGATGTGTTATAGGGTATGAAGCCTTTATCTATAAGTCAGGTACACGTCCAGCCCAGGTGGCTGAAGGCAAGTTGTTCTGTGAAGTGAGTTATTGAGTAGAGTGGCTCCAGAACTTTTCATCCAAATGATTTTTCAGCAGAATGTAGTTTCTGCAAAATTGAAATTTTCCTATGGAAAATTTTGTTTTTTGTCTTTTCTTCAAGTTTTTCCGTCTGGAAAATGTTTAGCTTCAGAAACATTTGTTGAACTGAACCTTAATGTTTCATTTTGAATCAGTTCAACATTAGACCACACCTGCCTATGTTTCCACAACATTTCATAAGTGTTTGAATATCTAATGCTGCCATTGTCGCCTATGGGCTGTACTCTTTGGCCAGACTACATTTCCCATGATGCACCACACTTTCTCTTCTGACCAAGGTGCATAATATATCATATTATTCACATGACTGTGAGTGCATTGTGGGAGACGTAGTCTTGCCAGGAAGCACAACCCATAGGAGAGAATGGTGGTAAGAGACACCAGAACTGCAACTCCCCTGAGGTGACACGGTGCCATTGGTAGATGTCATGTGATGTCGACCTGATCTGACATTTCTGGTTTGACATTTTTCATAGCTTTTAATTCAATGAAAAAAATATATATATTGATATTTCATTCCAATTTGGGATGAAAACAAACGTTGAGATGTCAAAATTACCTCCAAGAGGGAAATTCCTTTTTTGCTCATCTCTACTTTTGAATCTCAGTCTAGTTCCTTAACACATTAAAAAAATGTCCTCACAATTGGCACTGATTTAGAAGCCCAGGCCTACAGACAGCCATGGGGTGACTCCTTCAACATCGAGTCAGGTTTGTGGCACATTAGCAACCAGTATGGGGAAGTTTGCATTGCTGAGGCCTGCTCTCTTTCATTGTTTGGTGGAAATGGGAGAACCCTCTCTGGTGCTGTTAATCTGGCAACACTAAATTCACTTAAATATTTGTTTCTGAAAAAGGTACCACTGAGGCTGTGCCATCAATTTCCCTAATGAGAGGCTGTCGACATAAATTATAACTCTCAGGCACGCTGCGTATTATGGAGCATGCTGAAAAGTTATTTCAACAAAAGTCCTTTTTTGTTTTGCCTGATACATTCGTTCACTTTCTTCCCTGGTGCCGCGCCACGTGCGAGTCACTGATTAAATTTCCTCCTTCCATTTCAAAATCTTTATGCCCTGAGTGCCTTGTTTGGGGAGCCGGTGACATTTTGATGCCCTCTGTTATATACAGCGTACCTGGGAGTTCTTTGCAATTCCAGCGCAGGCACATACAGCTGTGGAAGGGATTTCATTTTGGTTGCTTCCTCCTGATAACTCATCACACCCTGGCTGGATCTCTGAAGGAAACGCTGCTTTTATAATGAAAGGAGGGGCCTTCTGCCTGAGAGATCTGAATTATGGTCACAGTGTGACCAGCATTGCAGGGCTTCATTATTCTAAGCTGTCGTCATGGCCATCACAATAAGAGGAAATATATAACTACCATTAGGGGAGCTTTACAGTATATAGTTTATCTCTATAACAGTGTGCTATCATGTGCCTAATTAGACGGTATCAACTGGTCCAGGTCTGCTACCAAAGGGAGATTTTCTTATTGTGTCTGGTCAGAGAGCTCTCGGTTTATGATTTATCACTGAAATTAAATGTAGGCATTGTTTCCCATTTGATTATCAAGCTACAAGTGACTTTTAAAAACCCTTTTCAATCCATTACCCCCCACTCCCCTCCCTTGAGTCTTCACTGCCCCTGTCCCCACTCCTCCCCATGCAAAAATAAATAAAATTACACACACACACACACACACACACACACACACACACACACACACACACACACACACGCCACTAGTAAGTAGAAGAAG